ACCCTGGATGGTACTCTGCAGGGCAGGCTCTTTTCAAAGCAAAGACCAAAGGTTTTTATTTCAGGTCAATCCTCATGCGTCTGCCTTTAAAGTTCATCTGAATTAACATTCAGTGATATTTTTGTCAGCTGTGACTGCAAGCAACATCATTACAGAGGAACCGTAATGCAAATAACTCTTCATAGTTCCATTAAATGCCACATTGTACCATAATGGAAGTGACATTTCATTATTTCTCAAACATCAAATGCATTGTGGCACTTATTGCCAGTTATACTTCAGGGCATTAATATTTGTGGCAGATGTGATAACTCCAGGAAGAGTAAAGAGAATGAGGGTCGCTGACGGGGGCATGAGTGTTACTAGATATGCTTATGAAGCACAGTAAAATGAGCCATGAACGCAGTGCAGAATGATCAGTGCCCTAAATCCACCCACTGATAAAGTCAGCGAGATCATCATTCTGGCTTCTAGAAACACATACATTCTGATGTCCTTAACTGGCCAAGCGACCTTTGAAAATGAGTGATATTTTGTGTGATGCTTTGGACTTCCAAAGGCACTTTAAACAAATCTGTTGCCCAAAACAACACACACTAGAGTAGTGGGTTCCAGTGGCTTGGGGAGGAAGAAATGCTGAGTTACTCATCAGTGCGTACAGAGTTTCAGCCACGAAAAATGAAAAAGTCCTATAGATCTCCTATATGGCAATGTACACAAAATTCACAACACTTCACTACACACTCAACAGTTTAGGGGTGGATCCTATGTGTACTTTTTGCAATGAAAATTAATTGTTCATCATCAAAACTTTATTCATTCACTTATTTAAACTTTACTCTTAGTATTCACTATGCCAGCCTGTAATCGGTAATGAAGCTAACTCAAAAATGAGCTATTTGTTCTCTCCCAACCTAGCAGAGAATTCATATTTCACATGTTTTGGGACAGCCTGTTACAGAACACACTGCTTTGGCCATCCTGTCTTTTAAGCAGAGATACGCATAAAGTAACATCACCTGATATTGGTAAGCAGCAGATGCACTCCTTGTTCCCAGATTCCACCAGAGTGATGCAGACTAGGTGGGGACTTTATGTCAGGGCCTGGGCATCCCAACTCAGGGATCCCAGACATCTGATAATGGGCTACAAGCAAACCTTCCTTACCGTTGAGTAACACATTATTTTTCATATATTGGGCTGTAAACAAAACTGTATCCCTTGTCCTAAGGAAGACACTCTGTGTCCCAGGTATATTAATTACACAAATATCTTGAAAAGATATTCCAGAACAAAGGCCATCACTGCCTGCTCTTCTACCAAGCACTGATCCTGTAGAAATGTTAGGGGCCTATAAAGAATCAGCTCCCAACAAGCAGGAGCCCATTTAGAAGATGTCATTTCAGGGAAGATTCCGAACCAGGAGCGAGCAGAAGAGAGATGGTAGGCTCAATCAGTCTGCAGTTCAAAGAAGAGCCAAGGAAAGTGTCCAGTATGTTCATCTAAGACATCTACTGCAAAATGCCTACAGAGGAAGTCATGTGTTTCATTTGTTAGAGGAGAAAGGTTCCTATATGATTTCGAGGACTTGTCCTCAGTGGCTCACTAGGGAAGACTTCCCAATAGCCAAGGCTTGCTGTTTTGTGTGGTCGCTTATTGTGCGGAGCCAATAAGCGAGTATGGTTGCCCAGTTATGCTTAACCAATCTGGTATTCCTCACTTGCACTTCCAGCTGTAAAACATTCAAAATTATTTCTGCTACATCCATTCAATCTTCACTCTCGATTGAATATTTGCACTTACCATTTAAGAGCCACATCTTGCCCCTCTATCTCTTCATCGAGGCTGTATGACCCTGGAAGGTACAACTGCGCAGATTTTGCTCCTTGTAAATCCTTACAGCCTTCCAAGCAAAGCACTGAGTACACCGTTTCCAAACAGTGCTTCTTGCTGCAATTTCTGGCTTGGGTTTTCAAAACCTCCAAAAGGCTATCTCTCAGCTGGGCTACTCTTTAGTAAAGTATTAGAAAATTCGGGAACTGCATAAACCTTTGTGGCTTCTTTTGTGTAAGCCTCATACTTGCTAGAATATTGAGTTTATGCTATAGAAATTAAATATAGTAACAAAAGCAACAGTGCCTGAACAATGCTCAGGTTCTTTGGACTGTACTATATACTTCTCAATGATTAAGGAGATTTTTGAGGAATCCAAGTGAGTAAAAAACATTAATGTTTGATTTGGGCCTCTGAGGCAAACTGAAGATGGTAAGCAACACAATTTTGCTTTTTCTCCGACCATTGGGGGAGGCTGGTTAGGGGCATCGCAACTTCAGGGTAACCCAAGCATTGCCTCTTTTCTGGCCGCAGGGGCCTATAAAGGGTCATTCCTGGAGTGTGCATTCTGCTTGGTGGATAGCATACTGACTGGGATGCTCACATCCCTTATCAGAGTGCACAGGTTCCAGTCTCAGCTCCATTCCTGATTCCAGTTTCCTGCGCATGCTGTGCCCTGGGAGGCAGCCAGAAACGGCTTAAGAAGTTGGGCCCCAGCCACACACATGAAAGACCTGGACTGAGTTCTCAGCTACCAGGTTAGGTCCCTAGTCCCTGGCCATTGTGGACACTGGAGGAGCAAACCAGCAAATGGGAGCTCACTTGCTCATTCATTCATATTCTCTCTCTCTTTACCTGTCAAATTGATTTTAAAAAGTAATAATAATACAGAGTCACCTATTCCCCAGAGAGAAGAGAATGAAGCCTATCACCTGTGAAACGTAAAATGATGAATAGTACTAAGTAAAGGAGCTAAATATAGTTCTGGAAAAAAATAATCTTGCTTATTCAATACATGCATTAAAAAACATAGCGTTGAAAAATAAAGATAATAAGACAGTGTAGTTACCTTCAAAGACCTTGGGATCAACTAGGAAAAACAGAAATTGATCAACCATTCACAGAAATGCAAAATTAGAAGAGCAATCCCCTTTAGAAGGTTTTTATGGGGGATCTGAGATAGAAAACAAAAGAAACTTGAAGTCCTGCTTGGGCAGAAATGTCTGGGGAACTACTTTGTTCTGTCAAGTGATGAACTACAGCCTAGGCCGGTGCCGCGGCTCACTAGGCTAATCCTCCACCTTGCGGCGCCGGCACACAGGGTTCTAGTCCCGGTCGGGGCGCCGGATTCTGTCCCGGTTGCCCCTCTTCCAGGCCAGCTCTCTGCTGTGGCCAGGGAGTGCAGTGGAGGATGGCCCAAGTGCTTGGGCCCTGCACCCCATGGGAGACCAGGAAGAAGCACTTGGCTCCTGCTATACGGCAAAGGAAGACCTTTCTCTCTGTCTCTCTCACTGTCCACTCTGCCTGTCAAAAAATAAAAAAAAAGAAAAAAGAAAAAAAAAAAAGAACTACAGTCTACATTTATGGAGTGTAGAATGGTGTTAAATTTTATGAATATTAATCACAATGATTAAATCAAGCTAATTGACATATCCATCACTCAAACAATTATCAGTTTCTGGTTATGAAGAATGAATGGATGTGAACTGAGTGGACGAAAGTGGTAAAAACCTATCTAGTCCCAGGAAGGGCCCTGGGCGAGACCCATGATGGTGTGAAGCTGATGCTGCCAAAGGACTGGCGGGGAGGAACCACACAGCAAGCAGTGTGCAGTGTACCATGCACCAGTGAGGGAGGCGTGTTCACCGAACCCCACAACAAGGGCTCCTGTGTTTATTACAAGATCAGTGGGAAGCCTTTGAAGAATTTTAAACAAGTGGGTGAATATCAGGTTTGTCTGTCAAAGGCTAACTTTTGCTGCAGCGTAGAGCTTTCATTAGAAGAAGATGGAGACGTGGGGAGACCGCTGAGATGGTTATTGCTAGGAGCTAGGTCTTAACTGGTACGCTGCCCAGGATACCTGATGAGCCCTGGCAGAAACTGACATCGGGACCCTTCTCCCCTCACACTTCTACGGCATCACACGGAGCTTCCTGAGAGATTGCTGGGCTCTGACTCTGATAACACGTAAATCTTGTAACTACACAGACATGAAAAGCATTTCAGGTCTATAATACCTAAAACTCAGGGCGTGAAGCAACTTGAGATTCAGAGTTAGGAGAATTTTTGGAAAAATAATATAAAATCCTATACCATATATTAACACAGCATATGCAGTGAGGTCTGGAATAGACCGTCTAATAAAACATCACTATTTCCCCAGCAAAACGTCTGTACATTAACATCAAATAGCAGAGAAAAGGATTACAATTCATCTCAGGTCAGCTCAGATTTAGTCAATGAATGGGACAAGCAAGTTCACTTTCCAACAAAAGTGTTACAGAAGGCCTCTGTTCTACAGAGTATTCAGCATTAGGATTTCAGGGACGTGAGCACGGCTGAGTGGACATTCTCATTTTTAAAGATAGAAAGCTGAGACTAAGATAGAAAACAACCTACGTAGACAAATGAGGGAGAGGCAGAATTCAAACTTAAGCTATTTGACTCTAAATCCTTACGATACGTCTTCAAACATAATGAACATCAGTATTTTTTAAGAAATGGGAATATGAATGGATGACTAAGCCCAGGCACTAGTGTCCTAAGTAGTACATGAATATCAATAATCCTAAAATGTAAGTTTAAGTAGTCCTTAGTATGAGAACACCACTATCTTCCTATCACATTAATGAGATGATGCTCTCCAGTGCCAAAGGGTTACTCCTATTGTAAAGATATGTAACAGTCGGAGGAAACACAAACCTTGAATACACACACATGGCTTCTACAAAATAAATGCCATTTGATCTTTTTAAGCCAAACAGGATACAAAATAAAAAAAATCAAAAGCTGTAATGTGAAAATGTTGCCAGTTGGAATTTTGAAAAGAGATACTGGATAATCACCTCCTGAGTAAAAATCTTCATATCTGTGGATTCTTTAACTCAGACTGAAACTTGGTAAGGCTCCAGGCAGGTAACTCCTGCCAAACATCTGTGTTCCCACAGAGCATCCCAGCCAGGAAGCCCAGACGTACACACACATACTTCAAGAAGGAAAAGACATCACTAAGAACCTAACAGCCAGGAAAGCATTCCATAGCCCAGCGAGGGCCTCAGGTAAAGACTTGATATAGGGCATCAACTTAATTTTACTTATATTACAATGCTTTAACATTTTAATGTTTTATATATTGTTATTTATACTACTTTTATTTTATTATTTTAGTTTAGAAAGGCAGAAAGAGTGGCAGATGGAGATGTACCATCCAAGGGTTCATTTCCCAAACGTTTGCAACAGCCAGAATTGGGTCAGGCCAAATCCAGGAGCCAGAAATTCCATCCAGGTCTATCACATCAGCAGGAAGTTGGAACCAGGAGTGGCACCAGGATTCAAACCCACGCACTCCAATGTGAGATGTAAGCACCCCAAGGTATGTCTTAACCCTTCACTAAATGCCTACCCCTGAAACTGAGCTTTAAAATTCCTGAATGATACTTCTGTGTTTTCTTATTTGGAGGATTGCCAGGGCTTCAAAGTGAGATCAAAACCACTCACCAAGCCAAAACAGGTGAAGATGACTGGTTTGCCTCTAAAAGTCCAAACTACCCTCACTCTCAGTGCCTAACTGCAAATGAGCCAGTGAGCACACACACCTCTCAGGGAAGTGTTCACATTTCTATGAGCTGCAGAACAGAGGCCAGCACTGTGCTCCTTAGCAAAACATTCCCTAGGTCTGAGATCAACAGGACTCAGAAGTCGGACTCGAGAGGTCATGTCAAAATAATAAAGCCAGCTACAGGTTCCAGTATACTGTTCTGATAATGCCTCTGAACAGAACAATTCTCTGTAGTGCTCCCATCGCGACCAGAAAGAATGAAATGTATGAATTTGATAGAGGACACTTGTTATACACAATAAAGTCACAGATAACAGCCAGCTGCTTGATATGAAAAACCACATACTTGACATATTCTGCTTTTAAGAACTGATTTATATTCTTATTTTATATTTTAATGGTAGAGAGAAAGAGACACAGAGCTTATCTTCCACTGCTAGTTCACTCCCGCAGGCCTACAACAGCTGGGGCCCGGAGAGGTGGAAATCGGGGGTTAGGAGCTCAGTCTGAGTTGCCCATGTAGGTGGCAAAGACCCAAGTACTAGAGCCATCATCTGCTACTGCCCCAGGTGAGCATTAATAAAAAACCTGGAACTGGGAGCAGAGCTGGGATTCAAGCCCAGGCACTCTGATATGGGATGCAAGCGTCTCAAGCGGCGTTTCAACCACTGTGCCACACACTGACCCCGTACTAACTGATTAAGACAAAGGGACCAAGGGAGTAAATGAACACGGTGTCACTTAAACTCCACATGTACTTTTTAAATCTGTGTCTCAGAACGCACTTGTCAATCACAACTATTTCTAAACAATGCCATATATTTTCCGAAAATATTTTGTGTTCTCCTAAGGCAAAATATAACACTAAGCAGAAGTGAAAAATCACATCATAATTAGAAATTTTGTGAAAAAAATCTTAATATCCTCAATATTGGAATATGGCTCTTTATACAGCTATTGCAAAAAATAACCTAATAACATTAGTATAATGTTACAATAATATAGCAGCCATGTGAAATGGCAATACTGACATATTAAGGAGAATGTTACGACAAACACATATAATGTATTCAATTTGATATTAACAACAATTCTCTGACATAAGGGCAGAATTACTCTAATTCCGTGGATGACTGTGTACTGCACTTGAAGAAGCAATTAACATCTTTTCCAAGACATGAGAAGCACACTCTGCCTGGTCAGAATGCCAGCTTTGGTTCTAGAACTTAAGTTCATTCTGAATCCTAAATTGGAGTGATGAAACCCTGCCAGTTATTTTTTTTTAAACTTTTATTTAATGAATGTAAATTTCCAAAGTATGAACTTATGGATTACAATGGCTTCCCCCCCATACCGTCCTTCCCACCCACAACCCTCCCCTTTCCCACTCCCTCTCCCCTTCCATTCACATCAAGATTCATTTTCGATTATCTTAATATACAGAAGATCAGCTTAGTATACATTAAGTAAGGATTTCAACGGTTTGCTCCCACACAGAAACATAAAGTGAAAAATAATAGATGATTTTTTAAATGATGATGAAATAAGATCAGACCTATTGTCATGTTTAATCCCAGTGAGAGTCAAGTTGGGAATTGATAATTTCTTTTTTTTTTTTTTACAGAAGATCAGTTTAGTATGCATTAAGTAAAAATTTCAACAGTTTGCACCCCCATAGAAACACAAAGTGAAATATATTGTTTGAGTACTCGTTATAGCATTAAATCTCAATGTACAGCACATTAAGGACAGAGATCCTAGAAACCCTGACAGTTATTTATTCTGGTTACAGCTTTGGTGATTTTTTCCCCTAAGGAATCACAAGTATGCAAATCAGCACCTCAAGTGCACTACTGTTTGTTGCAGCAGTTTATCTGCCGGGGGAAGTACATGGTCTTACACATTTACTTATTTACATCACTACTCTGCCCTCCAAGTAACGCTATAACCCCAAGCATCATGTGACTTCAGAGATGCTTATGTAGGTGACATCTCAGAATATGTCTGCCATTTGCCTCAACTTTGTGAGTGAATAAATGATTTCCAGCCTTATTTTAATGCTGTTATGTTTGTATTCTTATTTTTGTTGTGGCTGCCAATTGTTAGCAATTTCAGGAAGCTGGGCCAAGTTCCATTAGGCTGTTTAACTTTTGGCTGATCTTTTAAATCAGGAGGAAAATGCTGAATAAGTCACTAGGCAAATTTCTATAACTAGATTATTCTAATTTTCTATCAGATGAGTTTCTCTCCCTAGATACTTAAAAGGCCTCAACTTGCTCATTGCAAAGGCATTTTAAAGCCTTCTCATTCCCTTATAAGACTCTCTAGCAAAAGTTTTCATATTTCTCTTTTGTTAATTAAAACCTGCCACTCGGTGGGTCAGTTGTTTAACCATTACTAAGTCCAATATACTGGCATGCCATTGTTTAACAACGTTATTCATTAAGTAAGTACTTATGAGTTACCTATTATGCAACTGTAGCAGATATGAAAAAACACAGATTAAAAAACACACTGTGGTTTATTTTCCTATCTGAACAGAATGTCAACTTGGAAGACAGATTCCACTTCATGGCCAGCCTCCTTAACACAGTCAATTTTAAAAAAAAAAAGTCAATAAATTTAGTTTTTTTTTCTTAATTCTCATTTCAGATGTGGCAAATATTCCTTATTTATCTTTACTGTTAAATAGGTATTGTGAAATCCTTGAAACATGATAAAATAGGTACAGTACATCTAAGTTGCAAAACTGATAATAATAGGAACATTAATTAATTTAATAAGCAGAACATTGCACTTTCCTGGTTATTTCTTCATACACTTTTAAATTACCGTTAAGGTAAACATAATATTGAATTTTATTAATAGTTTCCTTTTATGATGCAAATATGGCTTTTATTACTTTATTTATACATTGTTTCTCTGTAACTGTAAGCTTTACAAAAAATGCAATACAGAGAGTTTTCAATGGTTTCTAATTACAAAGTCCATATTCCATTCCTAAGAAATATGCACCTTCCAAAAAAGAAAACTCAGTTGAAATAAGTTCACCACCTAGTTATTCCAAATATTTAAAAGACATGGTATCAACCTTTTAGACAGAAAGTAAAAAAGCAACACCTGTAAATCATCTAATGAGGCCAACTTATCTATGACACCAAAACCTTACAATGACATTAGAAAAAGGACAATTGTAGGCAACTTTTACGGAAAGCACAGGTGAAAAAATTGTCAACAAAACATTAGCCTCAGAACAGGATTCCCAATCCGCATTCCTGGTTTTCAGGCCCTAGGCTCACACAGGATAACAGGAGCAGCATACCTGGTTCTCTGGCTGCAGTGGGCTTATCAGGGGAATTCTCAGCCTCCACAATCAATGAGCTGATTCCCATTTTAAATTACTCTATAGATAAATGGACAGACTCTTATTAGTCTGCTTCTATGAAGAAAACTAATATAGAGAAAGACAGGGACATTCAGGTACAGGAACCACACAGAACCCCAACAGACGTGATCAGAAAAGATCTTCACCATAACACACTGTAGACAAGTTTTCAAAAAGCTGAAATTTTTTTCAAAAAACAAAATTAAAATCGGGCCCCTAAACCCATGTGCAAGACCTAAAAGAAGCTCCTGACTCCTAACTTCGGTTTGGCCCAGCTCTAGTCATTGCAGTCATTTGGGGAGTGAACTAACAGATGAAGATCTCTCTCTCTCTTTCCCTCTCCTTCTCTTGGTCTGTTACTGTTACTCGGTCTGTTACTGACTATAAGAAACACACCTTCACTAACAGGCTGAAAGTGAAAGGATGAAAAAGGAAATGTTACCACGAATACTACAGATATAAGAAGAATCCTCAGGAATTACTTCACACAGCTATATGCCAACAAATTGGAAAATCCACATGAAATAGATAGGTTTCTGGATACATAAAATCTAGCAAAATTGAGTCATGAAGACATAAAAATATCTAAATAGATCAGTAACTTAAATAGATCAATAACCAAAACAGAAATTGAGTCAGTAAAAAAATCCTCCCAATAATGAAAAGCCAAGGACTAGAAGGCTTTACTGCTGAATTCTACCAAAATCGTAAAGAATATCATTCCAATCCTCAAATGATTCAAAACAATTGAAAAGGAGGGAATTCTGCAAAATGTCTTCTATGCGGCCAGCATCATCTTAATTCCAAAACAAGGAAAAGATACAACAACAACAACAACAAAGAACCACAGATCAATATCACTGATGAACATAGAGGCAAAAATTCTCATCAAGGAAAATCTTCAATATTGGTGGGATGGAATAATTAATATCATCAAAATTTCTATACTACCCAAAGCAATTTAGAGATTCAATGCAATCCCAACCAAAATACCAATGGCATTCCTCTCAGATCTAGAAAAAAACAGCGCTAAAATGCATTTGGAAACAAAAGTGACCCCGAAAGTTAAAGCAATCTTAAAACAGAAATACAAAGCCAGTGGCATAACAATATCAGATTTCAAGACACACTACAGGGCAGTTATAATCAAACCAGCCCAGTACTGGCACAAAAACAGACATGCATACAAATGAAACAGAATAAAAATCCCAGAAATCAATGTATGCATCTATAATCAACTAATCTTTGGCAAACAAGCTAACAAACAATCCCCAGAGAAAGGACACAAATAGTTTTGGGAAAATTGGACCTACACATTCAAAAGTATGAAATAAGAACCCTACCTTATACCTTAAATAAAAATCAGCTCACAATGGATCAAGGAACTAAATCTGTGAACTAATCCCATCAAATTCCTAGATGAGAACACTGGAGAAACTCTGCAAGACAGTGGCATACAAAGATTCCTTGGAAAAGACCCCAGAAGCATATGCAATCAAACCCAAAACAGAAAAATGGGATTACATCAAGCTAAGAGACTTCTGCACCACAAAGGAAGCACTCAACAAAGTGTAGAGGCAACCAACAGAATGGGAGAGGAGAAATTTTTGCAAACTATGCGACTGATGTCTAGAATCTATGTAGAGCTCAAGAAACTCAGCAACAAAGCCAACAACCAGGTTAAGCATGGGCAAAGGACATGAACTGGCAATTTTCCAAGGATAAAATAAAAATGGCCAACAGACACATGAAAAGATGCTCAGGATCACTAGTCATCAGGGAGATGTAAATAAAAACCAGGATGAGGCTTACCCCATCCTAGTTAGAATGGCTATTATCCAAAAGACAAAAAATAACAAATGTTGGGGCCCAGCGTTGTGGTGTAGCAGGTAAAGCCACTGCCTACATTGCTGGCATCCATATGGGTGCAGTTCGTGTCCTGGCTGTTCCACTTCTGATCCACCTCCCTGCTCTTGGCCTGGGAAAAGCTTTCAAAGACGGCCCAAGTGCTTAGGCGCCTGCTACGCATGTGAGAGACCTGGAAGAAGCTGCTGGCCCCTGACTTCGGCCTGAGCCAGCCCTGGCGATTGTGGCTATCTGGGGAGTGAACCAGAGCCTGGAAGATCTCTCTTCCTCTCTCAATCTCTCAGAAATAAATAAATAAGCGTTTTAAAAAATATAACCAATGCTGGCAACAATGTGCAGAAAAGGGTATTCTAATACACTGCTGAAGGGAATGAAAACCATTAACCATTGAGGAAGACAGTGTGGCGATTTCTCACAAATCTGAAAATAGATCTACCACATGACCCAGCCATCTCACTCCTGGGAATTTACCCAAATGAAATGAAATCAGAATATCAAAGAGTTGTTTTTACCTCCACACTTACTGAAGCTCTATTCACAATTGGTAAGATATGCAATCAACCCAGATGTCTATCAGCTGATGGCTGGATAAAAAAAAAAAGGTGGTATATATACACTAGTAGTATACTACTCAACCATAAAAAAATAAAGAAATGTTGCCTTTTGCTACAAAGTGGATGCAATTGGAAACCATTATGTTTAGCCAAATAAGCCAGACCACAAAAGACAAATATCATATGTTTCATCTGTTATGTGGTAGTTAATACAGAATGCAAAATAACCTGTAGGAATGAAATGGACAACTTGTGAATTAAATGTTGTTTATATTCCTGTGAAACTGTGGTCTTTCTACTTTTTACTTGTTCAGTATTATTGTTTTTACTGCATTAGGCCTGTGATTACAGGTGGATTCAAATAATGTTTTTGGAAAAATTAAGGAAAAATAAAGAAAGGAAGGAAGGGAGGTGGAAGAGGGAGAGAGGAAGAGAAGGAGGGAGCAAAGTATGGTTATCTTCTT